CGGCTCACGGCCCTTACAGCAGCGGCCGTTATTCTCGTATACTGTGTTTCTGACGAATAGTGCCTGAGTAGATTGTGAGAGTCATGAAAGTACCCTCTATTTCGAAAACGAGAAGAGCGTCGAGTGCAGACCACACACCACAAGTGACGACGGCCAAGAAAAAAAGCTTTTTTTCTTGGCCGTCGTCACTTGTGGTGTGTGGTCTGCACTCGACGCTCTTCTCGTTTTCCGAAATAGAGGGTAGATGGTATGAATTCGAGTGTAGTGGTTGAGCACAACTTTGGGCTACCAGAGCTTTTCATGCTTTGTGTTTCACATTTCCACCTCCTCACAGTCGTGCACAGAATGGCTACAGAATGCTGCTAATAGTGCTTATGAAAAAGCGAACACATTTTCCATATTAATCTTTTAATCGTTAGCGACGAATACGGAAGCAGCTTTTCAAGGTGCTGCAGGCAGAATACGTTGAGGAGTTTACTGGAATCAGGTCCGGTGACTCAGATGGCGGCTGATGGGTAGGACGGAGCTGTTCACGAAGGTCACAGATGTCCCGTCCTGCCGGTTCTAAATTGTGCAACAAGGGCGCTAAGACCTTGTCTCCGCTTGCTCCAGAGCCGTAAGGTCGGTTTCTGATGCGAATCCGGCGATTCCCTAGCGAATCGCAGGTTACAAGCTTTGCACCAGCGGATCGAATTATGTACCAGCGGATTGAACGACTTGCTGGCACATAGTTCGCTAGCGGATCGCTGGATTCGCAAAGTCTGACACCGGCCTAAGATCGCTTCGACGAATTCCACTTTTCCCAGTCTGCAATGTTCTGGTGTCTGCACTATCTCGACCGCTGTGCTCTTTTGCCCTTCTCTCTCCTCTGTGCTTGTTCTCCTATGGCCTCAGCTCAAACATGAGCAATAGCTCAATTTTAGCTATTTACGACGGATTTTTCTTCCAGTTTCCTTTAGGCCGATGTCAGACTTTGCGAATCGCGCGATTCGCTAGCGTCCGCGGTCGCGTTGCGGTACCAGCCAATTGAGTGATTCACTGGCCGCGACGCGACCGCAGACGCTAGCGAATCGCGCGATTCGCAAAGTCTGACATCGGCCTTGCTCCGAAAGCTTCTTGTGGTTGTTCCTATAAGATGTTCGTAGCCCATGTCTCGTAGCGAATTCTACTCGCTGCTGCGCTCTTACTTTTGACGTGAAGTACCAAGTGCTCCATATACTCTCTGTGTTTTTGATGGGTTCCATTTCTAGCCAAGAGACTCGTGCACCTTCAGCTTATTCATCGGCGACCGTGCATGCTCGATGGCACTGCCTGGCCTAACGTCCTGCTTGTCAGGTGTTTGCGCCTTGCCACCTAGCACTCACGGCAGACTTTTGCTGCTACAAGGTACACTCATAGACCACGGCAGGAGGGCGGTACGGTTTTGTTGACATCATTGAGTGTCACTGGTGAGCTTTACCCCTCAGAGCTGGCCGGTGCGGGTGGGGCCGCCTCCCAATGCCCTCCCACTAATGACGTTCAGTGACGTCATCAAAACTGCAACGCCCTCCGAAAATCGTAACCACTGCCTATAACGCCCACATCCTGCTCATCAATATGACCGCATTCCATGCAGTGAATAATGAACTTGTTGCAGGACGTGACAGCGATGGCGTTCTCCACGTGCGTATTCGCTCTAGTGTCAATGAACCCGAATACATTACCGAGACTTGGAAAATACTGCGAGAGCAAATTGTGCCATGTCAAAATGACTGATCTACGAGATTGTGAAATTCAATGCGACGACAGAACTCATTATCCTCCAATCCCAAGCGAGTATGACAGAATTCCGGGACTGCCAGACAGGGGTTCACCTGAAGTAGATTCTATAGAATCTGATTTACGACCTCCTCCGAGAGAATACCCATCCCGTGATGATACCCGTCCTCCGTACGGTGGTAGACCATTTAACGGCTATCCCAGACCTGGTAGACGACCTCCGGGAGAGTCCCCATTCAATGTAGACCGATATTTTGGTAACCCTAATTTTAGATATGATAGACCATCGAGAGGTTACAAAATCTGTTATGTTACTGGCTATTCCTATAAGGTAGGTTCACCATGTTTTGTATTAACCTTCACTTTCTTTTGCTTCACCAATTTTGTTCAGTGGTAAGCATAAACTCGGACGCCAGCCTAGGAGGCCAGAAGGTTCTGACCGTAGTAGATGGTACCAGGTGTAATCCCGCCATGAATGAACTCGAAAGTGCCCCTCTTTGAATGCCAAAGGACTCCACTGCTTGCACGCTGAACTGTCAGGAAAGGCCAGGTACAATGCATAAACTCTTCCAACCAGATCAACGCTTCGGTGTGCAAGTCACCGGGGGGGGGCGAGGGGCACGAGGAGTCGTTGAATGTTGAGAGGCATACTACATGAGGGTCTTTAGAGGAATGTTGGCATTGGAATATGACGAGTCGTGTGTAGTGGAATGAGAGAGGACCTGTTTTAATGGCTTTTAGCAAATTCTCACAGAAAATGTGTGGAATGGGCAAAATTAGAGTGTTTGCCTTTTTTCAAAGCATACATGCCTTCCCCGTCGACGGCAATTATACAGGGAATTCGGTTAGACTGCGTTGAGTGGTCTCAAATTTAAATGCTGTAGAAGAAGTCATGGTGGCGAGGGCACTGGTGAAATGGTGAGCGCGGGGAAGTTTTGGATCGGCACGACAGCGACACCTGGCCTGTCTCCCCGAGTTAGCTGTTTTTGCCTTACTCGTCAGTAACACGCTGCCCTTAAAGGCACAACCCAGGCAGAGGTCGTGTGAACGCTTCCCTTCGGTCTGTAGTATGGACCCCTAGAGGACAATCACAAATGTGGCGTTCCGTGCACGGAAACCAACCGACAAGAGCGCTGGGGCCTTGCAAAGTAAGCTGCTGAAGCTGCAGAGTTTTTCTCCTTCAGGGTGTTGTCTGCCTCTCTCATCTGTAGCTCGCCATAGCTCTCCTCACCGGCTTAGTATCTCATTCTTTAGCACAGCCGACTAGGAAGATGAGTAAGCCCTCAACTTGAGCGTTTCCAACGGACTCTTTTCCTTTCTTCTACTGTCGGCCGATTTCGCACTAAAACATTCGCATTCGTGTGCCAGAGCCTCATCGATGTGATACTGGGGCACGGCTTTCAAGGAGTGAACGGGTGGCGCCGACTCGTAGGTGATATTCCTAGGGCAAATTCAAGTTGTATCTACGTAGATCACTTCGCGTTCGTTTCGAAAAAAATTCGTAGTTAAGGAGCATACTTACGGGCCGTCCAAGTCATTGACCGCAATTTAACGCTCCCCACCCACCGCGAATGTGGTGATGATTCTGCGTGCATTTATGTGATATAAGGCATGCTCTTTTGGACGACTTAGTTTCAGCGTTCGTAAGATTTCCTCGCTTCCTTCCCACTTTCAGGTCGTTGCTCAGCTGAAGGTATCACTAAACGAGGCGTGATATAGCACTCAGTTAACTCGGAGTTTGCCTTTGATCGCTGCCTGCAAGGCCATGGAATCTACCTGAGGGAAGTCGTGTACAGATTAATCCTTTGTGAACACAAATCCTAATTGAACCCTCTGCCAACTTGTCACTGACGATTGCTTTGTTACTAAAATAATGCTGGGCGACCGTTTAAAAGTGCCACCTATCAGTGAGTTTCAGATGGAAAATTAGCTTGGGAACTCAACTAAGATCGTCGTCCCCAACCTCGTGGTCCTGTCACCCGTCCAGTGTTGCAGCAAGGGTAATTTGGTTAAGAGTTTGGTCTTGAAAAATTCACATCTATTATTTTCGAGACGTATGAAAGGAGTCAAAGCAGAATATAGTGCTATAACGTGTTGCCGCTTGCAGCTATTTCCTAGTAGGCGAAGCGCTACGATGAACTACCGGAAGAAGTAAGACAGGATTGCATCTGTTAGGAAATAAAACCGAGAAAACCTATCCTGCCTAAAATTGCCTTTATAGTACGTAAAAACGCCAAGCACATGGAATGAGGCCCGAGCTGCGTGTCGTGCACATGGTGCGGAGCTGGCTTCAATTCACAGTAAAAAGGAGAACGAGTTCATATACAGTAAGTTGTTCTTAATATTACAGTAAGACAGCGTTGTACTGCAGAATAGGTAATTCTACGGGAACGGACTGTTCGGCCATCCTACTTCCGAAGTGAGACTTGTATGAATGAGCAATGTCTTCCCAGCGCGCTGCGCCGTCACAGTAAGTTGCCTCAGCCAGGATGTGGAACGACTGATGATCTGTAGGAACTTACCACCTTTACTTTTACAGTAGATAACTCACGTATTTGAGATTAGGCCCCTGCTGTCGTTAAAGTAAGGTTCCCAGCCGGAGAGGCTAAAAGAAGGTTGGTTCTGAAGGCGCCTCAACTCGCATAACAAGATAAGCCAGGAGTAGGGAATTTTACCCGCTACGAAATCCCTACCCTCAATAATGCGACCCCGTCTCCCACCTCCCCGGCCTTTCGAAAGACAACGATGTGGCAGTGTTCTGAACCGCCTTATGCCATATATGTGACACACCTCCAACTCCGCCACTCCACCACCCTCCACCTCTGGAAGCCCCAAAAGTGACGGGGAAAGGGGTTCAATTAGCCGCAGAAGTAGTCTCTTCTACGCTATTTTCTCTACACTTCCCACCCCAAATGTGTGACCTACGACACCTAACACAACGAGCCCCAGAAATCTCAAATACAACCGCCTTCCCACCAAGGACGAGGCGCAGCAGACCCCAGCAGGGATGGGTCTCCTCACACGCGTCGAGGTAGGTCTCTAATTTCGGAAGCTCATCCCCTCACACTCGTCGGGATATTTCCCCGAAGTTGGGTATACGTTCCCGTTGGAGTCATGTCGTCGGGTGATAGGACCCATCCTCGACCCGCTGACCTCCTTGTCGATGAATCCTCATCATAGCTCACCTGCCTTCTCACCACTTTGATGGTATTGTAGAAACGAGAACACAACGTCACCACCACCATGCGCATGAGGCCAGGCATCCAATCCAACATTATGGAGACCTTTTTATAAAAAGAAAATTGAAATCTGGTGTAGTGGAAAAAAGCCCGATTGTCGCTTGGGCGGTCGAACAGTCGAATTCCGTCCAGGAGACCGTCGTTTTTTCCTCCAAAGTTTCAATTACTATTTGATAACTTTGAGTCAAAGACCCAGTCTTTCTAATTAGTGCCCAGAGCACATTTGAGCCCGCAATTACCTATAGTTCAGATTGGAAGCCAGATGACGGTGTTTCCTTTATGACTGACCTCTGATCGAGTTATTTTGACATTAATCTTCTTTTATATATTTTATTCTCTTATATATTTTATATTGAATTTATTCGTGATAATAACTTTGCAGACTTGGTGAAGAACGAGCGTAAGCAGATTCGAAACCCTTACAATACCGTATGGATTGGAGCCCGTAGGGGACCGTCCGGTCGTTTTGAGTGGTCTGATGGATCTCGTTTCTCTTTCCAGTATTGGGCGAAGGATGAGCCGAACAACTACCGCGGCCGAGAGAACTGCGTATCCGTAAGTTTTTTTTCTGTGAAGTTCTATTTATTTAGTTTCGAATATTCTTAACAAGCAACTTTTCATCGATGCTGACTTAAAGGCACACTCCAGCGTAGTGATATGTGGCTAATGGGATCCAATTTGAGGTCTATAGGTGCTATGGGACCTTACCATAAGTGTGAAGTAAAATGCAAGAAAAAGTGCTGAAAACTCTTCGAGTGATGCCCTCTTCATAGCTGGTATATATGATTGTTTGGTCCACAACAGAAGAGGGTGCAGGTACGGGCGCCGAGCGGCACGAGGCCTTCCCCAACCGACGGTAATCTTCCTGAAGAGCCTCGGAAGGGTAACTCTCATAACAAGGTGAGCCAGGAGTAGGAAATTTTAGCCAGTACGCAGTATGAATTGAAGACGAACTCACAAGTTTGTCAGTTTGTGAGTCAGTTATTAGGTTCAACGACGCTTTTGGTACTATCGACCAAATCTGAGGGGAAGGGATGGGGTCGCATTATGGGAAATACAGGGAAAGAGGAGGGCGACCCCACAAAGACCACCATTAGAAGGGATTATACCGTCACTGCTCTTTCCTCGACGCGATGTTCATAAAAATGAGCTGTGAAAATTGCAGCTCCTGTTTTCTTGTGGATTGGTCTATCTCATAAGCGGGCGACATTGCACCATTCACGCTCTACAGAAATGTATCTTCTCCACCTTCTTGCTTGCCCTCTTTTCCCTTTATTTCAATATAACTTTCACAAGATTGAGCTGGGAAGGCGCTGGTAGTGTGAGCAGGGTGACCCGGAGTGGCGAGAATGGTAGCCGAGAAGACCTCCAAAGAATATCAACCCAAACTCGCTTAAAGCAACAATCCAGGAACGAATTCGCGGGTAAGGACCACCTATAATGACGTTGCAGGTGAGAAGTTGGTCAATGGAGAAAGAAAAAGTAGAAAAAAACGTCGGGCAGGGGCTTAGACAGGGACTCCCCCTGCCGTTTAGGGAGACGTGTGTTGGACGAGTTGTCCGAACCTGCCCGTAGTACATGCGCTCCA